GAGATTTATATCAGCCTTCACTCAACAACAATAACATCAGGTGCATTTCTTCACTTAAACCTAAACTTCTTAGACCAACGGGGTTTACACCATCAATATTATTATACTCTTTTACTAAATGAGCCGAATTTTAATAGATTTATTTAGAAAAGGAATTCACCCAGTAAGATGACTTTTTGATTTTCCTTTTTAAATAGGAATATGATATTTTATAATTGCTGGACAAAAAAAAGGTTCCAGCTAAAAATTTGTTTTGAGCAGTGACAGTAAATCTCAACTTTGGATCTGTCTGAAGGCATTTTCTTTGCCCTTCCACAAGATCACTTTCTACTTTCACTTTGCCAGAAACTTTTGCCATGACTTAGTAACGCCAAGTGAAAACATAATATCTGAGGCATATTTCTTAAGCTATATGTCAGTGCTAGTGAGCAGTCATGGACTGCTGTTTTGAAGGGGCATCCGATAGCAAGATAGCCTTTCCAAAATCAATGAGCATTGGGTGGTACATATTGTTTACCTCTGTAAGAATAATGTTGTCACTCTTTATATCTCTGTGGGGAAACCTCTATGAGTGCAAATGTTCTATAGCTTCACACAATTTCAGTACATTATGTTCCCGCAGAACACTGTGAAAGGGACATGGATTTCCTTAGCAGGGCACCGCACAAAGAACAAGAAAAATAATATTGTAAAGATGGTAAAAATATAACCCAAGGAAGTACATGTGAGGTTTCTGTTTTGTGACATTTACCCCAAACAGATGGGGTATTGATGGATGGGAGCATTCAGTATATAAGCTTCAATTCTGTCATCTTGTGAAGAGGAAAAAATGATTACTGTAAATAAATTGAGACCCACTGGAATACCCCTGTAGCATTTCTTCATGCACAGACCACAAACAGCTTCCCCATGTTGAACCTGTATTTCATTGACCTCTTTATCTTTTGGAGAGTTCAGGTGATGCAACTCAATTTCAAGAACATTGGAAATAACTCCTGTACCACTCAAGGAAGAATCTGAAACAAATACACAAAAAAGTCACTAAACGCACTAAAAATAACTGTTAACTCTACCTTTATTGATAATATTGTGAAATTAAATGAATTATGTTACTTGTGTTGCCATTATCTTTATGAACATTATAAATACACATGTGGCACATTTTAGCATTTTTGACCTTTTGACTCAGCTTACATGTACAGCTGTATCATTATAAACTATTATAAACAAAACAACCTTGTATATGAAAACATGACAAAACAAAACAGAAAAAATTGACAGTAACGCATATAAAATAAAGGATCCACCCTACCCCTGTCAAAATCAATGGTACATGTACAGGTATTACGCTCAGTATGTCAATATAGCGCCAGAGGTAGTATAAATTACTCAAGCAATTAATCTTGAGCTACTTCTGCCAAATACCAATAAATTAGCATTTTAACATTGCATAACTACATATTTTGCTGACTTAACACCACTTAAATTTTTCAACAAGGCTTTTTTCAGCTGGATCACTACAATACGCACGCGACACGCGTGCTCATACATGCTACAAATGTAAATATGGATGCAAATGTAGTTTATTCCCGGTTATAACATAGATGTGGCAGTAGAAGCACGATATACAAAGCAAAATACATCGACTTTACCTTTTAAATTTCGAATATCCTTGAGAAGAAATCCAGCAACATAGGCAATCTCTTCTCCCGCCAAATCGCCAAAAGACCGCGCGCCCGATTTCCCAAGCATTTGCGCCTCAGTGGTGCTGGTCAGCGACAGTCTGCATAACCGTTCGAGAACGAGGCACAACAATTGAAATTCGTCGACCGTTAACACGTTCCACTGCCGTCGATTTGCCATCAGCTTTTACTTCGTACGTTTAACGCCATATTTATCAAGAGGTTTCGAATTTTCCTTCTTTGTGGGGTTGACTGTCGAGTATGGAGGAATCGGCCAGTCTTATTCGTTCGAATTTATCGAACGAATGTGTCCTCGAAGAACTTATAAAAATAATCGCTCGAACTCGAGGGAACTGCATACTTATTCTTTGTTTGCACGTGACGTCAGCATAAATTAAAAACCAGGCGTGCGCCATGTTGGGGGATAACCAACCCACGTGTAATCATAAGGCGGAATCATAATTCTGCCTCTTTAATTATGCCACATCTTTGTGCGGTGTATGGATGCAGTCATAATTCAAAACGTGAGAAGGGACTGTTTAAATTCTTTCGTTTTCCTTCTGTTATTTGGAACCAAGGAGAAGAAACAAGAAAATTAACGGAAGAACGGCGACGAAGATGGTTGGCGAATGATAATCGCGCAGATCTCGATGGCAAAAAGCTTGATCATTATCGCGTTTGCAGCAACCATTTTATCTCAGGTAAAACCAATTTTCAAATTATCGAATACAATGACAAGTTCAAAATTCACTAGCGGCATTTTTTGTTAAGTTATCCGTTTGTTTTGTTACAGGGTCCCCATCGAGTCTGTATGATAACACAAACCCTGATTGGGCACCATCGCAAAACATCGGGCATGATAAAATAAAAAATACTAACCTTGCTTGTGAACGCGATGCCCGAGCCAAGGAACGTAGTCGGAAACGAAAGATTGAAGAAGAAGAAGAAAAAGAAGCGGAACAAACAAAGCAAGTGGCGGAAGAAGAGCCCGATGTTCAGCTGTGCGAAGAATCTCCGGATGAATCCGCGAACCAAGCCCAAGGTAAACAAATAAATATCCTTCTTACTTTTTATTCAGATCACAATATGTATAAAAAACTGTCACAGTTTCTTAAATATATTTGTATTTTATTTACCGCGAAGAAGAAAACACAGTTTGGTTTGTGGACACTTCTGAGTATTTTAATTCACTGAAATCCATAAGCAAGATTCTTATTAAAATCACTCCTAACTTTAATGTTACCGGATACTTCCAGGGAAGTACAGGTTCCGGATTAAACTGCTTATATGCTACATTAGATCATAGTCAGACCTTTGATTTGACCAAAAAATATTAGAATTTTGACAAAATTGTCCATGTAAAGGTATCGAAGTTCTCAGTAGTTAATAAATGCAATGTTTTTAAACCATAAACTATGTTTACAACTACACAGATCCATTTCCTGACACAGACAATGACAAAGGCTGTCAGTCAAATGTTACTACATCAGATGCACAGTGTCAGACAAGCCTTACAGTGGAGGATATGGAGAGGGAAGCATGTTTTATTCGAAACTCTACAACAGAACTTAACGAGTTAAAGAAACAACTATTGAATATAGAGATATCTCGACAGGCATTTTCTTAAAATGATGAGAAAACTAAGTTTTATACTGGTATTCCAAATTTTGTTTTACTAACTCATGTCTTTAATTTAGTTGCCCCACATGTCAAGCATACATCTACCAATGTCCTCTCGCAGTTTCAAGAATTTTTAATTACTTTAATGAAGCTTAAACTAAACTCTCCTTTTCAAGACTTAGCATTTCGATTTGGCATCTCTGTTTCAACTGTAAGTAGAGTATTTGACAAGTGGATTGATGCTATGAGTACACGCTTGCAATTCCTCATTATGTGGCCAGCAAGAGAAGAACTAAGAAAAACAATGCCATTAGCCTTTAAGCGTAACTTTGGTGATAAAGTGGCGGTGATAATTGATTGCTTCGAAATATTTATTGAAAGGCCGTCAAGCTTAATAGCTAGAGCAATGACTTGGTCAAACTACAAGCATCACAATACTGTGAAATTTTTAATTGGAATAACCCCTCAAGGAGTCATATCCTTTATATCTAAGGCATGGGGAGGAAGGGTAAGTGATAAACATGTTACTGAAAACAGTGGTATACTAAGAAAGCTGCTACCAGGGGACATTGTTTTAGCTGATAGAGGCTTTGACATTGCAGACAGTGTTGGATTCTACCGGGCAAAGCTGTATATCCCAGCATTCACTAAAGGTAAAAAACAATTATCTGCACAAGAGGTGGAAGAAACAAGAAAAATAGCTAATGTCAGAATTCATGTTGAACGAGTTATCGGACTAGTTAGAAGAAAGTACCCAATGTTGCAGAGCATACTGCCTACAGAGTTGCTGAAAGTAAAGGCAGGCGATTCTCTTGCACCCATTGACAAGATTGCTAGGGTTTGTTGTTCACTGACTAATTTGTCAGATTCAATAGTACCATTTGATTGAGATGAATGTATCAGTTACTGTCTGTACAAATTTTAACCCTTTAAGCCTCAATATCACCATAGAAATTCTTCAGAGTGATCTCCAAACATTTCCTTAATGAATTAGTTGAAATAATTTGTTAAAGGATCAAAGCATTTTCCTTAGGTGAACATTAAATTAATTCTCAAAACCTTTTCTCTGATTATGTCTCAATATTGTTTGAGGAAAACTGAAGTTGATCATTCTTGAGCCTTAAAGGGTTAACAATTTTTCAACTCTCTCATAATCAAAATGGTGCAGTTAGGGGGATGCTTACCAGCAATTTTCTATTCAGTTGTAATTCTGATTTGTTATTGAGTACTGAATTTAAAAAAAAACAGCTTTAAGGAGCACCTCTGATAAGCCAGGAGTTAACATAATACATACAGATCACGTAACAAATAAAACACTTCTCAAAAAATTTAAAGTAGGCTAACCAGTGCCTTATATGTCAATGGATGGAGCACCTTTACTTGTTACAAATAAATGAACATCATGTTTAAATAATGCTACAATCCCAGTCAAAAGGTTTTGGGACACCTCCCCTTGTTCACATGTTTTTGTATGGAATTTGCAGCCATCCTGCAAAAGACACTCATAAACACGGCCTTAACAAGAATCCCCCCCCCCCGAACAAAGTTGAGGTCCTTAACGTTTGCAAGATATGTGAAAAGGGGTTTGACTTGTAACACCCAGTACTGTTCAGGGGAGGAGGGGGGAAACCTTGAAGTACATTTTCCTCACCTGAAACACAAAGTGTCCTAAACGTTTTGATCAGGATTGTAGTCTGTTTATGTTAACCTATGGCAAGTTGGACAGAACCAGTCTCCTTCAGGCAGTTCTTTCATCCTCAAATACGACATGTGGTACCATTTTATCTGGCATGTATCATTGTCACACCCGATTAATGTGCTTCCTTCCACATGTCGCTGACAGTAGCACCAAGGCCCTTCCACATCGTCTTCATCACATGTTGATGATGGTGAGTCAATGTGGGTTTGAACTTGACAACCTGGACGAGTGTAACACTTACCCACCATTTCAGGCAAAAGGCATTTGTTAAAAAATTCGGTGGCAGCGCGTAGTGAATTGGCCCAAAGCTCTCGATCAGGAAGAATTCGCTGCACAAAAAGATCTTGCATTGTCCACACTACAAAGTCGCAATATTCGACGCCACAGATAAATATCTGTGCTTGAACTTGGTAGTAATAAGCATGCGATTTGTCCAGGTAAATGTTACCAAGTTCATCTTTTTTTAAACAAAAGTTTTTCTTGCCAGCAGAATCAGAAATTACTGCATCCTTATAGGCATATGGACATTTTATTTCACATACACCCTGCCCACAGCATTTGCAATTTACAAACCCATCAGGGGAAGCTCCCAAGTATGGCCACCTTGGATCAACATTTAGACCACTGTCTGAAATTGTTAAAGACTCATGGAACTGACCTATTGATTTCTGGTAAGCTTCACGTGCCCTACCCTCATTTCTACATCCCCACCTTGTGGCTGCAGTTGAAAACTTATGGGCTTCAGGGTAACATATTGCCTTAACCAGACTCTTCGCAGGTTTTGCTGGATTTGTGCTGCAAACAGATTTAAGTTTGGAAGCGATTACACGACCTGCCCTTTGCTGGTACCAAACTTGACTTTGTGACTGCTTCCTAGTTGAAGCCTCTATTGCTCGACATTCCCCTGGTGTAACCTCAAGAACTGCTGGCTTACAGCATTGCAGTAACTCCTCATATTCCAGCACAACACATTCTTCTCTATACAACCAATCAGGAAGAGACTTTGGCAGATTGTCAATTTCTTTACATGCAAACTGCTCATTAAATGGTGGTACAAGGGACAGTACTGCAGGTTTCACTTGAGTCTTAGATATGCTTTCAAAAAAAAATTTCTGCTCATCAGCAGTTGGTGCGGGTATCCCAGTAGTTTTGATCCCAGGGTCCGACCTAGTCCCACTAGGGGTAACTTCATTTTCCACCATCAAATCATACTTCTTCTTTGCGGATGTAAAATCCATATCGCATACAGGTAAGTAGGGGATTTCTCTCACATGACTAGGGAGCATCCATTTGCTTTTTTCTTGTGTGCAAGTGGTGGAATCTCTAATTCTAACACCAGACTCTACAGCAAAAAGCACTGCACCAACATGCGAACAAGCTTCACACAATCCTGCCATACAATCACAGTGGGCTGCTATAACAGAGCCACCTTTTTCGGCCAAAAACCATACTTTAAGAGGGGTATCCCTTGCTCTCTGTGAGTGGTTTACCTGTTCAAGGTATCCCATAAATAATGCAAATTAAGAAAACCCTGCCATTTGTATATGTCTTACAAAACAATGAAGTTGAAAACAAAAGAATCCATCCCCGGTTCAATCTTATCTTTCGTTCTAAGCTTATTATCACACATTACTATTACCCAGAAAGAGGAAAACAAAATTTAACACAAGGATGAACTGAAAACCACTGCAGATATTTTACAATATTTATCCAAATAAATTCTTCATCTCAGAGAAAAACATATCACAGCCTTCAAATTAGCTGAACTCAACATTTTATTTGTATCACCTGAAAGTAGTTGTACACATAAACGAAAATCTGCCACTGACAAAACTAGGAATAACATGCAGTGAACATGTTAAAACAGGGAACAAAGAACTTAATAAGCTCATCTTCACTCACCCTCGCAAACACAACAACTTTATCTGTACCAACACATCGCATGTAGAGGGTGTTCACCCAGCCAGAGACGAAAAAATTATATGCATCCATCGACTTGTAGGCCTTCATTTGGCTTTTTGTTGCCCACGAGGTTTGCAAGACTAAATAATTCACGATATCCGGATACTGCACACTCGGTAGAAGATCCACATTTTCACTGTAATCACTTTTCTTTAACGAATAAGGGTCGAACCCACATATACTAACTTTTTCCCTATATCTTAATTTCGATGGGCCATCTAGACCCGCAAAATAATCCGAAAACTGCACGTTTTCGTCCGGCTCACTCTGCATGGCAGCCATCTTGATGGTCTGGTTATCCCCCAACATGGCGCCGGCAGATGACGTAGTAATTTTTGGTCACGTGGTTGCAAACAAAGAATAGATCCTTCGACGAAAATCCACCATGAAAGGCATCTAGATAGCTCCATCGGCGACGATCAAGTAGTAACGAGTGGATCCAAGAAAGCAGCCGTTAGTACTTAGTAAATAGACTTCGGTGAATCGATGCTGTTTTAATCAGCAGACATTGTAAAACTAAGAAGAGGCAGGAGAAATGTTGAGGACAAACAAATGCTGAGGGAGCAACTAATCGGGAGTAAAAGAAATGCTCAGTAGGTATAAGAAAGTTCGTTGTTACTGTTAAGCCATTAATGATGCTATTTGATAATACCTACTGGCTACATTTGCATTCCAATATTCAGTAATCAACAAGGACCACCCCTTCTCCTGAAACTTTATTTGTCCTGTTGTTGTAAAAAATACTGTAATCTTTTGTTTGGTTGTTCTCTTCAGATAAATGGTCTTGGAAAATTTAATAAGAATTGAAGCAAGTGTTAATTCCCCTCTATTAGGCCAAAATTAACCTTATCCTCTAGTGCCTACTTTCTCCAAAGGCTTTTCCAAAATTTAAAAGGGGAGTAAAGGTAGTGACTGCCATGGTGCTGAAAACATAGTGTAGCTAGAATTTAGATCATGGTACCCTGCTTTCACTGATTGTTTTTTTATGATCACCCCATGTAAGGGATTCTGGAATCCGGGAAATTTTTGCTTATGGAATCCAGAATTCGGGCAATTTTTTGTTGCGGAATCCTAAATTCTGAGCTTTGAAACCTGAAATACAAGTCAAACGATTGGAATCCAGAAACCAAGCAATCCACTGAAAAAGGTTCCGGAATCCGCAGCGTGGAATCCAGAATCTAAAACTGTCTTGGATTCCCTCATATGAGGCAATTATAGTATAATTAAACTTTTGTTCCCAAGATACACTGTAAGTGATGGCAATATTGCAGAAGAAGCAGGTTCATGAAGTTTTAAGTAATATGTCAATAATGTTGTTATGGTAGTGATGTAGTGGGACACTCACTATAAAATTAATACAATGATTTACCTGGAGTCAATTGTCTTGTTACAAAAGGGTTTCTCGCATTCATTTTTTCGTTTTGTTTTTGCTCAAAGAAGGTCTTAGTTTTAACAGGTACAGTGTAATCAGGATTATGATGACCGCTTGGGGTTAGATTTGAGACATGAAAGTTACGAGCCAGCAATTTGTTTAAACTAGTTAATTTTGATATCAGTTAACTCAGGAAATAAGTAAGTTTAGTCACCTAGTGTGACTGCAGCCAGTAATAATACATGTAATATCTAATAGCAACCTTTTTTGCTATAAAACGCTAGAATATTTAGACAGAAAAGGACAATTTTTCATGACAAGCATCTACAGCTTTAGTTTCAATATTAATGGTCTCAATTATGTATAATTTCTGTTTGTTGCAGAAAAAGCTGAAGAGACAACCCTTTTCCAGTCAACCTCTATTTCGAAGAAGGATTGTTGTAAGTTCAAAGCTTGTATAATTGTGGAGTACATGTCTTCAGAGCAAGGCAATACAGACCAAGGAGATGACAAATCCGAGAAAAGTGCTTTGCAGGAGGCCTCTAGCATGGAGGAGTCAACAACTTAGCCTGTAAAAACCTCTTTGCCAAGCTGAACAGTAAAGCAAAATTAAAACAGTCACATGTAAGCTTGTCATTACTCAATGACAATAGAAAGGACGAATGGCTTCTCCTCAGAGCAGGAGGCACCAGATAATGCTCCTGAATTTGCTTTGTGATAAGGAAATATAAGTTAATCCAAGGCTCTTAAAGAAATTCCAGATTATTTATGACTGGTCATACTTACAGGTACATGTACATGTAGCTCTGCAAATACAGTAATCCTTTAATCACTCTCTGTTTATGACACTGTTTTTTAGAAAAAGATAAATCTGTGTAAACAGTGCAAATCCTGATGGTGTTGATTTGTCCTGAGAATTCTGGTGGCAGGTAGATCAAATTGGTTGATGTGATAAATTTTTCATTAGAATCCTTTGGCTATTGTTTGCAAGTAATGTACCAGTCAGCAGGTTAAAAAGGCCAATTAATGTACAAATGTTTCTTTTAAATCTGTTTGCTTAACTGCAAGCATTTGAGTTCTGCTGGCACCACTTCACAGTACATTTGTACCAATAACAGCAATTGCAACTGACCTGCTTGAACAAAAAAACAAAACAAATTTAGGTACACCCTGCTTTTTGTCATGATTTGTTACGGAATTTTGCAAAGGATTGCAACATGACTCAAGAAAAAGAGTAATGAGAGACAGCAGTGTAGTTATTTTGCAGGCTAGCCAGATCAACCTTTTGTACTACATGTACATGTATACTGAGTTTAAAATAATTATTACCTTCTTTCATTGGGACCAACTACAGTGACAATGGTAATGTTGACATGCTGTGGAATACTATAGCTGGTCATTACTTTCATGACCCTCAATTTTCTTAGAACGGGGCAAGTACTAGAAGCTCCGGCTGGTACTTCCTCTAAGAGCATATCCAATACTATACAGGAACCATTAGCAACGAAAATGAAGTTAAAGAAGTCTGATCTGAATTTGAATAGCTGTATGTACCTAAACTATTTCTTAGTTTGCTAAATGCTATAACCCAGTTGTTATACCAGCAAAAATTGTAAATTGGTAGCAAGAATTAGGCCTTTCATTCTGATAGAGCCTAAAGAAAAAAATGCCACCAGAATCAAATTTTGTTTAATTTGTAAATAGCAATAAATACAAAAATACTAATTATTTATTAAAATGGTGTCTTGAGGGTTCCATTTAGTTGAAACAGGATTTGGTCCTTAGATACAAAAGTTTAAGTAAGAAATAGTCTTGTCATAAGTAAATTAATAATTGGTCCAAGGGTGAAAGGATTTTTAACCTGTTTCTGAGTTGCAAAAACCTAAAGAACTGAAACAGGTTTGAGGCGACTCTGAAACACCTACAGCTGTATGTAGAATATCTTACACATTTAGATGAAGAACACTTTTCTTATAATATTAATAGTTAGTAATGATCTGATAGAGCATAGAGTGGAGACAAGTAAACATCAACGAACAGTAAAATTGGGAATTAATATGAAGAGCTGTATGTACAGCTTTATACTGTAGTTTGTAATGTCTGTAATAATGTGTAAGCCACTTTGGTTTATGGAATAAATCATTTAAACATTAATGGAAGGTCACTGCTAGAATTTCTTTGAGTAACTTTAATGTTTGATTAATTATGGCCACTTGTTAAGAACCTGAAGTGAGCCATATTATAATTAAAAATATTTTTAAAATTTTATCGCATTTGCTACAACCCAAGCAAACTCGTTTAAACCTTGGAATTTACATTTGCTACTGGAGAAAACGTGCTCAATTTTATGGGTTTGATGACATTTGCTAACCAAATTAAAGTCAGAATTTGATTACATTTGCTACCTGAGCGAAAAATTGTACAATACTAACAGTTTCATCGGATTGGCCGCCCAAGCAACTTTGTTCAAAACTTGACTTTTGACCACATTTGCCGCTACAAGCAAAATTTTATGTTTGATCAAATTTGCACACCCTAGAAAATTTGTTCAAAGTTTAGGTTTGCTAACATTTGCTTCGTGAGCCAACATGTTTAATACAAAGAGTTTGGTTACATTTGCCATGCAAAGCAATCTTGTTCAATTATGAAAATTTGATCACCCATGATAACCCAAGCAAACATTGTTCAAATTAGATACTTCGCTCACATTTGCAAAGCTGCGTAAACGTTCTGAAAATAACAGGTTTACATGCTTTTACATCTAAAGCAAAAGCTGTGCAAAACAGCAGATTTGCGCTATCATTTGCGTAATGTGCAAATATAGTTCAAAGAAACATATTTGCCTACACATTTGAACCATCTGCAAATGACCCTCAAATCCATGGCTGCCCTTATCTTTGCACCAAGATGTAAATGTTGTGCAAATGTGGCATTTACCGTCATTGCTACGGATAGCAAATCTAGTGCAATATCAGTCTTTGCTCTTGCGCAAAATTGTGCAAATGTGGTATTTGCTACACATTTGCTGTAATTTGGCTACCCTAGTAAATCCATTTTTTCGTCCAGTGAAGTTAATAATTATATAGATTTAGCCAGGGCTAAAAGCGAGGCTCCCATTAATATATTTAAAATTTAAATCAAACAATAAACTTGTATTCCACATTTATATGACTTTTTAGGGAAAGGCTACGTGATTTTAGAGAAAAATAATTTGCAAACAGCCCAAGAGTGAACCAAATCTTACATCGAGTTGATAGCTTCATATATACACCCAAAAGCTGGTAATCATCTTAAAAAGCTTATATCAAACCTCATACTCGGTCAGATCATTGTCTCAAATCTTACAAACGTGCATAAACTAAATACCCGCATAAACTACGCTCAACTTTATTGAATTATACACACACACAAAAAAACATCAAATACAATAATTAATCTGGCTTACCATTCGCGATGCAGCTCCTGAAAGTTATCAAGTAAGGCCAGTATCGCTTCAGACTTTGCAACCCTCTTACGCATCAAGCAAGGTGAAAACGAAAATGATGCCATCCGAAATCGGATTTCCGACTTTGACAAGCGACGTATTTCTCAACCAAAAACCCAATAAAGAAACTAGCCATGAATAACAGAAGACTGCTGATAACAGTTGAATTTCAATCCAGTGGAAGAAGACAGTTAAAAACATCACAAGTTGACACAAAACTCTGTCAGCTTCAGCTGTCAAAGTAAACAAGATTCAAGATGATACAAAAATTTTCCGCATGAGCTCACGTGTCAAATTTTGACCAATCAGAGCATAAAAATTGGACGTAGAGCGTGACCAACGCGTGAGCATGATGACAAAAGTCAAAAGCAACTGCACCGGCGAAAAATGTCTGATTGGTCGACGCGCGACCACGTGACATTGCCAAATTCAAAAATGGCGGCAAAACCTCCA